CTCTGAGCCCTGTCCCCCTCCCTATTTTGTATTTTATTGAGGGACAGGGTCTCCCTGAGTTGCTGAGGGCCTCGCTAAGTTGGTGAGGGCTGGCCTCCAATGAGCGGTCCTCCGGCCTCAGCCTCCAGAGCCGCTGGAAGGATAGTCCTGCTGCACTCTTTCGGGCTGGACATCTTTAAAGAGGGCTGAACTTGACTCTTCTTTGCATGCCAGGTCCTGGGCCAGCAGGGGGTGTGACGATCCTGGTGTGACACCTTAGCTCTGCAAGGACCCAGCTGCAGGACCTGCCTGGCTTTGGGTTCTGGGTGACCTTGACCGCGTTCCCCCTGGGAGGGCGGTGCAGAGAAGGGAGGGGCCGCCCAAGGTCCTGGGGCATTACCTCCCGGGCGTCCCTGACGATCTGTGTCCCCACCGCGTGGGATCTAGGGCGGCTGCTGGTTGTCGCTGTCTCCCAGCTCAGTGGCTCCGCGGCGGTGATCCCGGTGCAATTCTCCGTGTGGCCACTAGAGGGCGCTGCGGCACCGGGGACCGCGCACTTCTCGGCCACCAGCGCAGGGGAGGGGACGCCCCGGGTCCCTTGTCCGGGGCGCGCTCCGCGGCTCAGCCTCGGATGGACGTGGCGGAGCCCCAAGCTATGCCCACCCCTCCTTGTGCACGCCCCGATCGCTTCTCCGGGCCCCAGCTCATGTCGCACCCCCACAGTCCCCATGATGTCCCCTCCCCCAGACCCGACCCCTGAGCCCCATCCTCAGCCCTATTTTGTGTTTTATCTAGAGACAGGGTCTCCCTGAGTGGATGAGCACCTCGTTTTTTGCTGAGGCTGGCCTCCAACTCGCGATCCTCCTGCCTCAGCCTCCCCGGAGGCTGGGAGGCTGGGATGCGCCCTCTCTCCTGGCCCCACCCCCAGACGTTCTGGGGACAGATTTACAGAATCTCATCCTGATGTATTAGGTCTCCATTTTATGGGTAAAAAAAAAACATCCAGTCTCAGAGAGGTGAAGCCACCTGTCCGAGGCCACACAGCACAAGTGGAAGAGGCTGATGGCGAATTCCGAGACAGGCTGCTTCTCTCCGGAGGTCTCCCGGAGTGTCACGGTGATCTTGTAAAAGGAACAGATGGGGACACTGACGTCTGAGGTCCATGTCTGACAGCAGAGTGGAGGCAGCAGTAAGGCTCTGAACCTCCACGTTTCTAGGAAGAATTCATTTAGGGGGGTCCCGAGGATTGAACTCGGGAGCCCTCGACCCCTGAGCCCCGTCCCCAGCCCTATTTTGTATTTTATTGAGAGACAGGGTCTCCATGATTTGCTGAGGGCCTTGCTAAATTGCTGAGGCTGGCCTCCAACTTGTGATCCTCCTGCCTGAGCCTCCCCTGCTGTTGGGATTACAGGCATGCGCACTGAGCCCGGAAAAAATGATGCTGATTGAATGGACGGATCCATGGCAGGTGGAGCAGATGGGGGTCTCCCGCCGCCGCCTCCTTCCAGCCATGGTGGGTCGCAACAGAGGCCAGGCCCCGCCCCTGCCTCTCCTCTGGGAGTGTCCAGCGGCCGCCAAGGCTGCTGTTTGTCTAGGCAACATGCTTGGGAATGCAGCAAGAGGCTCTGGCGGGAGCACAGTGCCCCCATTAGTGCCTGCCCTGGGTGACAGCCGAGTGCCACTGCTGTCCCTGGGTGCACGGAGTGGGCCTGTCACAATATTTGTTCAACACGCGGTGGCAGGCTAAGCCGCTCTGCAAACACGAGGTTGCCAACAGGGAATCTCCTGC